GCCATTCTACTAATGGGGTATGGATGTCTTAGGACCATTTCCAATCGCAAAAGAAGGAGTAAAATGGCTAATAGTCGCGATTGATTATTTCACCAAATGGATTGAGGCTGAGGCTTTGGCCACAATATCAGCCAACAAGATCGATGATTCTTCTATCGAAAAATGCTATGCGGATTGGCCACACTCAGCTTCCCAGAGGTCGCCAACCATTTGTCCATTGGCAGCTCTTCAATGCGGGGACCAATTTCTCTTCCTTTGGCATACATGTCCTTGTCAAAACCCCAGCCTTCCCCGAAGTAAATTAAATCTGGGAATCCTACGTCAGCCTCAACGAATTTCCTTTTCTGTCCCCTTGGGGAGTTTTCCACTTCTTTATTTTCAGGGGGGCGACTTCGGTGGCGGCAGATGGGGAACCTGGCGACTTCATTCGCGCGACAGCACCATCACTCGATTCTGCACTAGCCGAAGTAGCCACAGTGTGGGGCGCGTTAGGAACAGAAGAACTGACACCTTCAGCAACCCGCATCAAAGCAATCTTCTGCAGCTTAGTAAACGAAGCCACCATTGAACTATCTGCAACAAATCGAAGAGTCCACATTAGAAATATACAACAAAGTGATAAAATAAATAATTCTTTCAGCTAACACTACAACAAATAAAAGTCAAATTACCCAAAATGGCTCGAATATCTTCATCAGTATATTCATTCAAAATCGTAAAGGTACTTAAGTAACCCGAATCATCTGATGCTTCACGCGCGATGTTACATAAAGTAGTCACCTTATGTTGTTCCAGATCACTCAAGTCATCAAAGTTGTACCTCTATTGGTTGTACCTTATATTAAGGCTCTAGCCAAACCTGCAGCCCAGAAACGGCCAATCAGGGTTCATACCGCCTTCTGAAGGCGGCATCAGAGCCACTATATAAACAGAGGGTACATGCCCAGGTATGATAATCTAATTCAGTAAGAATACACATGCACCTGCAACTGATACTGACTTAAGCATCAGAATGTCATTGCAGGTACCACTCCTCCAGTTTCAACCATCACGCCAACAAAAGACTAGAGGCTTCACATCATCTTTAACAACCTTCAGCCCAAGAAGCAGAGCAACCTTATCATTTCAACCGTGTGTGATTAAGCCCAGTACACATTGGCTTGTTCATATTGTATTTGGTCTGATCAATCACTGTTCTCCTATACTCAAACTCTAAGAGATGATATCTCACTTAAAACAAGGCTAGAATGTGTATGATATCTCAAACTTTAAATCTTTTTCTCTCCTTAAAATTGTTATAGTTGTACATTATTTGAATGTTTTCTGTGCAGTACATTTACGAATTAAGTTTGAAATTCATTTGTAGTTTTAACAAAATTATTCTTGTACCTCCGGGCCTAATTAATTAAGTGTATTTATTTTATGTTTTGTATACACACAAGACGTATTAGTTTAATTTTTGATAAGAAATATACACTCAAAATGTTTGCATAACAAGTGAGAATAATATTTTATCATTTGTTTAATGCAGCACTAAATTACACCTAATAAGATTATACGAGGTAGTATTCTTTGATACCAGTGTCAAATTTGAAATTTGACATATCATTTGAGAGTCATTAGATAAAAAAAGATCAATGTCTATGATTTGTAAATATGTGACATTATTAATCTTTTTTGATCTAATGACTCTCAGATGAAGTGTCAAATCTCAAATTTAAATCTGACACTGATGTCAAAAGATCCTACCTCCTCCGGGCAAGATACAAAGTAGGTATGACAGGAACCTTAAATTAGAGAACACGTGATGATAACTACAATAGAAGTAATAATTATTGCTGTATGATTCCCACAAAAGCATGATATAGTCACTGTCTCATTGTTGCAAGTATGCGTACAGCTCAACTTTCATCACTATTCTATTGTCCATTCACAGCATCCAATACTCCAAACAGGATTTTGGACACTACAATCAATGACGACAAGGTTTTTTTTTTTTTTTTTTGGAATTCAGAGGAAAGGAGAATATTATTAGATTGAGTCTAATATACAAATAATGGTTTCATGAGAATGGAAACAAAATTAATATATTTATCAAAATTGACATTTTCAATCCACAGTCGACTAACTTTAATAAGTTAAGTCATCACAACTGTTTATTACAAAATTAAGGAAGGGATCCTTAATATGACCACATCATATGCGAAGTTATATGTAATTTTTAATAACAAATTAAAAGTCAACAATTAAAATAATCCTTTCATCTTTTTTCGCTACTAAAATCTTCTCAAATGACTTAATCATATTGAAATAAGACATAAGATGCATCTCCTGTATTTTATAATTAGAATATTAGTAGTCACAATGGGGTATAGTGAAAAATATATAATTTTATCTATTTCATAAACAGAAAAATATTTATGCAGTTACTGCAGATAAGTTATTTGTATTTATTCTCATAACGACGTCGTTTTGAGATTGAAATATTAAAAATTATAATTATAAAGATTATAATAACCTTGAAATAAATTAAAATTACAAAAACACTATGATTTCCGCCTCAAAACGACGTCGTATTGGACTTACTCATATAACTTATCTGCAATAACTGCAGAAAAAATGAACCCTTTCTTAAATTATGGAATCACAGTCCCAACACTAGTGAATTCAATGCTCTAATATTTATTTTCTAGACCTCAACATGACCATGGATTGTCTTACATTAAAATTTCACCTACGAAATTTTTGAAAATTGATCATCTGATGAGTTATTTAATATTGATCATTATTTATGGATAAATTAACAGTTATGAGAGAGAGAAAAAAAAATAGAATAAAGAAACGATAAAATCATCATAATTGATTTAACCATAAATCATTAGGATCCTGTCAATCGATATGGTCACGTTAAATAATATCCGAGAAAATTAAGGATGTTCGTGGTCTGGATTGGATCGATTTTGAAACAAAATATCATCCGATCCAATTCCATCAGTTTAATCATTTAATCATCTATTCGGTTTGGATTTTTTTCCAAATCCGATCCAATCCAATTTTATTCGATTTGAATTGGATCAGTTTTTTGAAAAGCCTAAAAACAGAATTTATGAGAATTATTTTTACCAAAATGAGGGAGTATTATTTATCATTTTATTGTAAAATTATGGGATGTCTCTAAGAAAAATTTGTGATTGTAATTTAGAACATTATTGATTACTGCATTAAAAAAAATCAATTTTAAACATTATTGAAAAGTAGGTTCCATCAACCAAAATCAGAATCTAACCCACAATGCAAATGACATTTCAAAGGGAAGCCTCAGTCAGCCAGAAATTCACATCAAAGGTAAATTTATTCAGCCGGTAATTCCAATTCAATCAAGTCCTCATCCGCTTCATTAACACCAACACACACAAAAAGATAAAAACAAATATATGAGAAGTTGATGGTTTGAACAAAAAAAAACATAAATGTAATTGCACAAATTGGCTCCGCAGATCATAGAGTAGAGAAAGAATTCTATGATCCAGATTCCAGGCCCATAGAAAATTTAGATGCTGTCACTCACATATAAGAGAGTAAAAAAGGAAAATGAAAGTCAAAACAGGGATAAAATGAGGAAACAAAAAATTAATTGTGAAATGGATCACCACAAATTAACATAGGAGCTTAAATCCCCCCCCCCCCCCAATAAAGTAATAGATTCACAGATTCCTAGGTCTTTTCTTGTGTTTGTCATTTTTAGAAGCTGAGGTTTGATAGGTCAATGAGTCATGTGTTTAGAATTTTTTTATATGATTTTTGGGTTATAATCGGAGAATAGACTCGAGTGTAGGTAAATAATATTAATATATTAGATCAATTTTCACCAACCAAATCGAAAATTGATCCAATCGAATTAAAATTTACGGTTTTTTTTTTTATTTTTGATTTTTCGATTTTCAATTAATTCAGTTATCAATTTTTCAGTTTGATCATCACAATTTGAATCAATTTGGATCAGTTGATGAACACCCTTATAGATAATATACTCTCAAATTGTCTATCAAAAAAAAAAAAAAATATACTCTCAAATTTTTTATATCTATCTCTTTCCTCATTGATTTGACAAATTATAATTAAACTCCATCAATTTAATGCAGGTAGAGAAAAAGATAAAACAAAATGCTCTCATGAAAAAAAAGAAAAAAAGAAAAAGAAAAAGGCGCCCATACCTCCATAATTGAGGAAGATTTTAACCCAAATAATTATTTAGAATATCACGCCAGCCAAAGCTTCTACCATGAGGTAACATGCTACAAATACACCAAACAACAGAGAACAAAACAGAATGGAATGGAGAAAATAAGCACAAGGTTGAGCAGCATCAATTGGCTGCTTATGTGGAATTAAACTGTACTGGAATTTAGATTGCCACGGTCATGCTATTTAGCTATCTTGTAACTGTCATCATGATTCAGAAACCCTGCCATTATTGTATTTTCAAAAAGGCTTACAGCAAAAAATGCATCAGAAAAAACCTTCCATGGAAAACCATTTTTTTTTTGTTTTGTTTTGTTGTACAAATTAAACAAAACTAAAGATGCAGTTACTGTCACCAAGATGAAAGCTTATTCCTTATGCTTGAATTTCGACAGTGAACCCAATGGAACATCAGGGAGGCAATACTGCCCCATTATAACAGTGGCTATCATGCCTTATCAATTTTAAGATGATGACTTCATAAAGGATCCATTTGCTTGAGTTTTTTTTTTTTAAAAAAAAAAAAATTAAAGAAAAGTACTTTTTTTAATTAAAAAACATGTTTAATTGTTTTTTTTTTACAGAAATTAGAAAAGTTTTTCAAAAAAAAAGAAAGTAATATATAAAAACGAAATTTTAAAACTTTTTCCCAGATGCTAAAAAGAATAACTTTTCAAATGAAATTTCTAAAAGCTTTTGTACATAAAAAAAAAAGGAAAGAAAAAAGAAGCAAACTTACACAAAAGAATAAGGTGTTTACTGCAAAATGAGAGCCCTCCCTTCTAAAAGATGGAAAATTTAGAAACACCCGACTTCAAAGTAGTAGATATATTCCACATATGCACAAAGTAAGCAGAATCATAGGCAGCCAAACAATATTGGAGCAAACTTATCAATAGATTTTCTCATCAAAAGTCAGGTTTGTGTCTTCTTAATGGAGGCCTCTGCACTGTTGCAAGGAGCTCTTTGAGCTCCTTAGCATGACTCTTCATGCCCTTAAATGAATAAGCTTTAATCATGGTTCTATAAGTAATGATATCGGGTTTACAACCCTTCTGTTGCATCATCTCAAGCACTCTCTTCATCTCAGCAAAACACTCTAACCTCCCATAAGCATCCACCAAGCAATTAAAGAATACGGTGTCCAGTAATACATCTGAATTCTCAACAAAACGAAGGACACCACCAATCTTTTCAGGTTTACCTGCACGTGCATAAGCCCTCACAAGCGAGCAAAGTGTAACACAACTAGGTTTTATTCTCTCTGACCGCATCAGTCTAAACAAATACTCCATCTGTTTGAGATCCCCAGCCTTCCCAAAAGCATCAATCACAACATTGTATGTCACAATTGTCCAAGAATAATGGTACTTCTGCATGTATTCCATTACAGCACTCATTTTCTTGTAATCCTCAACCTTGCCATAGGAATCCAAGAGAATATTAAAAGTCTGAACATTAGGTTGAATTCCAGAAGTCTGAAACTTATCATAACACCTCTCCATTGTTTCTATTTGCCCTATGTTGCCAAAGGCTCTGAGTGTTGAATTCATGGTCCATACATCTGGTTGGCAATCCCGGTCAGCAAGCATTTCCACTAGTGTAGATTCCATTTCTGAAAACCTTTTAGAACAAGAAAATTACATTAATAATCAGAGATATAAATATGCTATGAAATCATGCTGCAGCTGGTTGCTAAAAGAATAGAATTAAAACACAACCAAACAAGCTAAAAAACAAATGAACAACTTCTTGTCAATTTTAGTTGGAAGGGAAGAGGGGTGGCAATCCAGGAATGGATAATGGTCCAAATTAGCAACAAAAATGCACTATGTGAAAGGGCTCATTTTTGGCAATCATAAAGGTTAAATAAAGCTGAGAGCAAGCCATGGAGTAGTAAGGTTCTTACTTCGTAACCAGAAGGTCACAGGTTCAAATTAAGAAAATAGCCTGTTATGATCCTACTCCAAGGTATGGGACTTGGAATCCCACACTGGAAACATAAGGTTCTAGTGTTGGGTTTAAATGGACTTTGAGCTCTCCTACCTCATGGGCTAGCTTTTGGGATAACGCTCTCCCAAGGTTCACATCAATTGGTATCAAAGCATTCCACTATGTCTCCCGGTTGTAATCAAGGCGCGGGTGGTGACGTTGACATTGCAGTGTTTGTCCAGGGCTAGGAAAAGACTAGTGCAATACCAGCTCACATGGGCACCGGTGCTGAAGAGCATGGTGGAATATTATGATCCTACTCCAAGGTATGGGACTTGGAGCCCTACATCGGAAACATAAGGTTCTGGTGTGGGGTTTATATGGACTTTGGGCTCTCCTACCTCATGAGCTAGCTTTTGGATTGAGGTTCTCCCAAGGTTCGTATCATAGCCTCTTTTCAAAAATGCAAGGATAAGGTTGCTACAATTATCTAAAGAACCAATTCAACCCAACAGCTTAAGCTGTTGGGTGAGGCTACATTAATGATTTTATATATCTCAACATGCCCCCTCACACGAGAGCCCATTGGGCTTGAAGGGTAGTCGATGCATAGGCCCACCTACCTGTGCAAAGAAAGAAATTCCACTAGAAAGAAAGTGGGGAGCGATGAGGATCAAACCCGGTACACTGAGGCTCTGATACTATGTAAAGAAGCACTTCAACCCAAAACCTTAAGGTGTTGGATGAGGGCCTCTTTAATTGTTTATATTATTCTAAAGAACCAATTCAACCCAACAACTTAAGTTTAAGCTGTTGGGTGAGGCTACATTAATGATTTTATATATCTCAACACGTCCCCTCACACGAGAGCCCACTGGGCTTGAAGGGTGGACGATGCACATGCCCACCTACCTGTGCGAAGAAAGAAATTCCACTAGAAAGAAAGTGAGGGGCGATGAGGATCAAACCCGGTACACCGAGGCTTTGATACCATGTAAAAAACCAATTCAACCCAACAACTTAAGCTGTTGAGTGAGGCTACATTAATGATTTTATATATCTCAACAAATTAACCTTAACCGCCCTATAAAGTCGGGAGTCTTATGCACTAGGATTTTCCCTTTTATATAGGTTAAATCTTCCAATCGTCTGGTTATCTTTTCGTTGCCTTTTAAAAAGATAGAACCTCTCTACTCTCCTCATCGATTGGTTGTATCTACAGTAATGATGGAAAGGTATCTACTATCTAGTTGATATATTTTATTTTTCATGTTCTCTTAGCAACCAGACTAAGCATGTAGTACTTTCAGAAGAAGCTAAAAAGACAGGTAAATAGTTTACTTTTTTGCCTTCCCGTATGCATCAATAAGGGTATTATACGTAACAGTGTTGGGTTTGATTTTGCGAATGGCCATGTCAGACAAAAGACTCTGAACTTTGTCAAAGGCAAAAACCTGCAAGCAAGATTTTATGAGGATTGAATAAGTCTGGACATCTGGCTGACAACCAGGTGTACTCTCCATTTCCTCAAGAAGAGAGAAAGCTCTGTCCAAGAGACCACTCCTGCTGTAGGCAGATAACAATGCAGTGTATGATTCACAGTTCAAAACACAACCCTCATCAACCATAGCATCAAAGAGTTCGTGAGCTTTCTCAGGTTGCTTACATTTTCCAAGCATGACTATTAACTTGACGTATACACCTGCGTAAGGTCTGTACCAAAGCTGTTCACGCAGTAGTTCAAAAACCTGAAAGCACGAGAGCATGACTTAAATGATAATCAAGTCTTCCTATGAAGAAGACAGTTTCACTTTCACAAGTGTGTGTTTAAGAGAGAGAGTGGAAGCAAAAACATCTCAGCCATTGTTTTAAAATTCACTTAACTGTGCTTATAAATCAAATCATGCAAATGAATTCCAAAATTATTTTCTTTCTCAATACATGAAAATTAAGTCCTTAAACAGTAAAGATCACTTTCTCCATCAATCTAACTCTACCTTCTGTTGCCACATATCTTCTATATCCCATTCCCAAATGCAAATATGCTTTCCTTGTATCTTTTCTTTCTACCTTCAACAATTCATATTTCTTGAATTGTATCCAAATAAGTATTGGCACTTCCTCTCTTCACTTCCCCCAAGAGATAGAGGAATAGACAAAATATATAAAAGGAGGCAGGGAGAAAGAGAGAGAGAGAGAGAGAAAGAGAGAGAGAGAGATTAACATACTCTAAAGCTATCCAATAAAATACAGGATATGGAGGATGAGGGAAAAAAGTATGACAAAAGAAAACATTCCTGGACATTTTCTTGAACATCTCTATAAATATTTTGATGAGTATCGGAGTCCAAATGCGAAAGAAATAATAGGAACCAAGCAATCCAAATGGAATTAAACACAAACACCCAAGTTTAATACAGTGGTCTGAATTACAATGAAGGATGACAAACAATTGAAAGGGAAAATTACAGAAAAGGAATTGATTACAGACACAAGCCAGAGTGATTAGAGAGCCTCATGTTCTCTCCAAGTCCCAACTCAATCCCAGTGTTCCCAAAGATTAAAATAGAGATTGCCCCCTCCTCTTTTATTTCAATCCTCATGTCGTGCCAGCAACGTGACCTCACAAACCCAATGCGACCTCAACAAACTCCAACTAACTGAATTCCCTCCTCACCCACTTGTGCTGACTCATCATTAGTGACATGTGCTGACTCATGAATTAATTCTCTGTACCTCTTCCTCCTCCCATAAACACTCCCGTACTTCCTAGTCTTCTTGATTGTATCATATTTATACTAGATGATTAATAGATGAGCTTCTTTAATAAATAACCAACATTTATAATTGGACAGGTCACTGGATCTATAAAGGGTTAGGTTTAAGGGCCAGTGGTTCAACTCAGATCAAACTGCAGTTGAATTGTGATTTTTTATACACATAAACATGAGATATGATGCTTAAATAAATATGAATTTTATAAAATATATTATTTTATTAAAAATAAAATATCTAAATTACTAACACATTACTAAATGACATTATCATACATATATATAAATAACCTTTTATTATTTGCAAAATTTACAAATTAAGCTTTCAAAGAAGTATAGTATGTTATTTCGAACTTAGAAGCAAGTGTACCATATATGTAGTTAGATTTATACATAAATTAATATTAGATATAATTTTTTGTCATTCCTCGCGGGATGTGAGTTGACAACCCTTAAGCTGCTTTCCTCTCAACTATTACTCTTTTAAATAAGATGACACAGCACAATCAGGTTCTGCCGTGTCACCCCAACCAAAAGGGTCTAACCTGCTAAACTGATTATGATTTGTCTGACTTATGGTTAATCAGAAAGTTTGAATTTGACTATGATCTCTTTAGTGCTCGGATGGTTTCATATGCTAATTGAGTTTCAGTCGAAACTGGCTGGTCCAATCTGGTTTTTCAAACAAAGAGACTAATACTATTGTATATAAAATCCAATGGTTGTGGCATTTCACTTTGGAGACTCATGCTCCACTGCACCATGTGATTAAGAGCAAGTATCATCATCAAAGAATGATTTAGAAGCCAAGTTTGGGCCCAACATTTATGCTTCCTGTATACTGCTATGTTTGATGAAAGTGTTGTAATTGGATTCTCGAATAAGAAAAGCTGTACTAATTGAGATCTTAAAGAAGCAATAAGTACTCCATTCATTCATAGGTATTTTTTCCTGTTCAAGCCTCAGTAATTTTAAGGAAATTATACTCTTTTGCGAATTATTTTTTCTTGTCTTCCATTGGCATCCATCTAATGATCTACTTGCCCTAAAGCTAACTAAAATTCAAAAAAACCAAAGATTATCAAGGTCAAAGCTTCTTGCCCCAAGATATTTTTACTTACTAAGAACTTAAATAAAAATGCAATAAGCACTGCATGCATTCATAGGTGTTTTTTCCTGTTCAAGCCTCAGTATTTTTAAAGAAATTAAACTCTTATCCAAATCAGTTTTACTTGTTTTCCAGCCTCACATCCATCTAACGAACTACTTAACCAAAAGCTAACCAAAATTCAATTAAACTAAAGATTATCATGGTCAAAGTTTCTCATCCCTTTCCTTTGAACTCTCCTTTTCATGTTTTGAAGCAAAAGTTTACTCAGTACAATCTCAAGCTACAGAACAGACACCAAACCCAAATTACCACGGGTACAACAAAATCCTTATAGATTTGGGTTAAACTGGAAAAAAAGTCAACTGCAAAAGTTACAAGCTTGGGGTCCTACGGTAATGAAAATGATCCCCGATAACAATCACTACAAAGACAATAATTTTTTGACACCCGATTTGTATTCTCTTGCCTAACCTAAATTGCCATACAATCAAATACCACAACATAAAAACTCAACTTTCATCTACCTAAGCAGGGCACACCCAGAGTCCCATACATATTAGTTTTTTTTTTTTCTTTTATATTACTTGTTTTAAAGGGCAAATCATACAAGGATTGCCCTCACCCCTTACCTCGTTAGTCGAGATATAAGGTGGAGTTTTTGTTGTTGTTGTTGTAATATTACTTATTTTGCATCTTCGAATCCTACTACTTGCCAAAAAGCTATCTGATATTCAATTTAAACAAAGATTACCCTGCTAAGTAAAATCCCAAATAGAACTCACAACCCATTTGTGTTCTCTTTCCTTTTTCGCAATCCAACAATACTCCATTAAGCCCCAACTTTCATCTCATTTACACCTATACTAATCATGTTAAGCAAAACTTGAAATAAACAACACACCCCATATGTGTTCTCTTCCCTGAGTCGCCACACAGCCCAACACTAAGCCATAAAAAACTCAACTTTCACTTCATACACAACCCAAGCAAACAGAGTACAGAAAGACAACCATACAAAACAGAACAACCCAGACTCCCATTTTCTCCACAATACCCCAAAACCAACCTAACAAAATTCCATATCCAATCACTCAAACAAACGAAAACATAAAGAAACTAAGCTTGAGAGAAGACATATACATTGTCATACAATCAAACACTACCCCATTAAACCACTTTCATCCCAAAATATAACAAATAATAAATAATAAATAATAAATAAAACAAAAATAGACCTTGAGAGCAGATTCCCAACGCAGAGCCGTGATCCTTTCATGGAGGGCTTCAAGGACGGTTCTTGGTAGAAGCTTCTTAGAGTTGGTAGGACCCTTCTTCTTTCTCTGGTCAATGATGGCCTTCGTGGCCTCTCTCCGCAGTATCACAGACACTGCTTTCTTCGAAGCTATCTTCCTGTTCACCATCTCCTTTCTCTCCTTTGCTTCCTTTGCCTTCTGCTTCTCTACTTCCATGGCTATTCTTCGTGTCCTATCATTCCTCACCGCCACTGTTGTTATCGGTAGTTTCTCTGATTCGGCAATGGATGAAGAAGTAGAAGGGAGTTCAGGGTCGGGTTCGGATCGGGTCAAGGCTTGTGCCCGTATTGAAAAGGTTCGACGAGTGGTAATGGGTGGAGGTATGGTGGTGGTGGAGAGTGAAGCCATTGGATTTTGTTTGCTACTCTTGAAGAGGTAACAAGATAGGTATATGCCAAACAAGTTAAATTATTTTTTTATTTTAATTATTTTTACAAGGAAAGTAAGTACCTATATGATTTTTTTATCAACATATATAAATAAGACTCAATAAGTTTGACACGTCGTCTGAGAGTCATTGGATCAAAAAGATTAATGTTGTTATATATTTACAAATCAGAGTCGTTAATCTTTTTTATCAATGGCTCTCATGTCAAATTTCAAATTTAATACTGGTATCAAATGATCCTACCTTTATAAATGAAGAGTTTTATTAATATCATGTTAAAGGAGATAAGTTATCTCATGTCATAGAGACAAACACCACCTCAAAAAAATAAAAAGAAAAGAAAAGAAAAGAAAAATGTGATATAGTTATCGAATGATGTGTGAGAGAGAAAACTTATCTCATGTAGCATGATAATAGTTTTTCCCATAAATAAAATGGAAAATGATTCTTTTATAATTTTTTTTTACAAATTACATTAAGTATGACAAGTCATACACTCTTGATTGAAGTATGACCTGTCATACCTAGTGTAGTTTATAAGAGTTTGTAAATAAAAAATTTGTAAATATAACCTTCACCAAATAAAATTAGTTAAAATTTTACATTAATTTAATAAAAAAATCTTTACAAATTATTATGGTGATAGCTCTAAACCAAAATTATTGCTTTTATTATGATATTTTTTTTTGCCAAACTCGCACAAAAGTAACCGATATGAAAACCAAAAACATTAATGAGAATAACTTATTTTTTTTTAAGTAAATTTTTTTACATCATAACAAAAATATTAAATTTAAAATTTATATAACTACAATTTAAAAAAAAATTAATGATTTTATTTTAATTTTTAAAAATATTATATATATAAGATTTCACCTAAAATTTCATTTCAAAATAGTTAGTCTCTTAGTTACTCTTTCCATTTTATTATTTTGAGTCCATAACCTTAATGCAGAAATTGCAGGGGTTGTCCCTAAAAAGTCCGAAGTTGCCACTCTTGAAAAGAGGTCCCACTAGCCTTGCAACTTCTTCCTTGAGCCGAAATAGAATAGTAGAGGAAAGACTTGAGCTATAGCCGTATACTCTTTCAATGAGTGAGGTAAGCTATGAACTTTAACGTTTTTCCCTTTGAATGATTCTATGAGCTGTGCCTTAAGCCATTAATTGCAATTAATGATATTGAATTTAGTGGGAACATGATTTGTTGTGATGTATTTCATGTTTAGCAACTTTGAATGGATTGATTGATAATGCCTTATGACAAATGAATGAGTTTTTTTTTTTTTTTTGGATATTCAATTGGATTGCTTCGCGATTAGTCTGATTCGTGGCAGGTCTCGGATTAAAGCTTTAAACTCTTTCCAAAGACAGTATTAGGGAGAATCAAACATATACTCTCACCTGCTCAATTCTCTGACACCAAATGAGCTACCATCATTTGATTTGATGAAACACTTTTCTAGTATTTTGATGACTGATGTAAGCCTGGTCAGTTTAAAAAAAGAGTGTCTTTTAGGAATTTCATTCCTAAGAGTGAGCTCACCCATGGACACAAAAGAGATAGTCTCTAAGGAATTTCCTATCTTGGGATGAGGGCCACAGAGATAATAGAGATAGATAGTCTCTTGGGAAAATTTCTTATGTTGGGATGAGTCTCATGGAGGCACAGAGGACAAGTGTATGAAATTATGTAAGTTTGAGATGCCGATCAACAAGTATGATTTTAAGGCCCTAATATAGTTCTAGTGCTGGCCATGGAATTCCCATGTGAGAAAAATGTTTCAAGGTTCTAGAGCTTATTGAGAGACTCCCTCTCACCCCTCGTGGGCTGCCTGTTGCAGGAGCAGAAGAAGGAAAAAGCAAGGACATAAGTACTCTAAAATGAGAAATGCTAACTTGTCTAGGCTGGGATTAGAAAAAGGCTGTTTTGTCTACTTGTTTTTGGCATCAAGGCTGTTGAATGTACTGAATTGTTTTATAATATTTTGGTGGTTGTTGTACCTGTCAGCCTAAGTTAAATTAAAAAAAAATTGTTTAGCAACTTATAATATCTTGGACAGTATATGATATAAGTATTTCGGTCCTTGGAGTTATTGAAATATTCAACTGTGATGAGTCTCATATTAGTTGGTAATGGACTAAGTGAAGTGAATATAAATAGATGGACTCATGAATCCAATGCCTTAAAATTCTGGATTAAGATATGATATCGAATCCACTTGATATGGTGATATAAACCCCCACCAACCTGCTGGAGTTGCCAACATCATGTAATTGAACCTTGGAATGAAAATATGCCTAGCTCCACGTAATTCAATGTTCAAGCTGCTGAATATTGCTATTTAATTCTTTTTCATGTAAAAGTGTAAAGATTAAGAGTCACAAACATGAGAGACAAGAAAGGGAAAAAGGGATGAAGGACTTTTTTTTTTAATACACCGATCTTAATTACTTCTTTGAGGCGGACCATAATTCTCCGGTGTCCTCATATGTTTAACCATTCGGGTCGCCTATGAGACTATTCCGAAATTAGGGAAAGAGAGCGGTTAAGGACTCCCCCTTCCAACAAATACACTTCCTCGAATTCGAACTTGCATTCTTGTTCTTGAGGAGGCCTTGAGCCGCTACCACTCGGCCAACATCATCTTGGTTGAAGGACTTCTCTTGGTTGAAGGACTTCTCTTAGATCGCACTAGTTTATTAATAACCTTACTAACCACAACTTTATTATTGAAATGAACTGCATTCTAAATGACCTTATGGGAACCATGACTGATTGTTTTTATATATATAAATATCGAATTTCATTTTCTTATGAATTTAAATGATGTGTACGTTGTAATGAACCCCCTTGCAGTGAGCTGCCTAGTTCTCTTAGTTGTGTAATTAACCATAGGAATAGTATATATATATATATATATATATATATATATATATATATATATATATATATATATATATAGGCAAATGGGACGAGTTTTGTATACATGGAAATTTTGGAACCAAACTGACATCTTGAGAGACCAAATTTTTTATGATATTTACTCGTTTTATAAATTTGAACCCTTTAAACTTGATTCTCAGGACTCTAGGTTTGGTACCACATTCTTTAACAATGAAAAAGACATTCTTACAAAGTTCCAACAACCTTAATAATTTCAGTATTCTCATCATTGTTGTTGAGATATATAGTCTCACATTGGTTATATGTGCAACTAATGTGGAGTTTATAAGGTCTTGCGCACTCCTACCCTTTGAGCTAGCTTTTGGGGTGGTGTATCCCAAGGTTCTTTACATGGTATCAGAGTCTTGTCGTCCCCCACTCTTTCTCTTGTGGAGTTTCTTAACACAGGTAGGCTAAGCCTGTTGCATTTCCACACTAAGCCCAAAGGGCTCTCGTGTGAGGGGGCGTGTTGAGATATATAGTCCCACATTGGTTATATGTGCAACTAATGTGGAGTTTATAAGGTCTTGGGCACTCCCACCCTTGAGGTCACCTTCGAAATTTTCACGAGAGCTCCAAGTTTGCTATCTGCCATGGATGTCTGTAATACTAACATTGTTGATGGAATGCAATCTAAGGCTTTCATCAGACGATAGTGAACTAAGCATAATCTGCCTCAGGATGAATGCAGGTTGCCTTGGAGGAGGAAGATCCACAATCTCACTGTTAAGCATAGAAATTACTGCAGCCATATTGGGCCTGTCTGCAGCAAATTCTTGTACACACAGAAGTCCTATGTGTATGCACCTCATAATATGCTTTTCAAGGCTAGGATCATATATTCCTGGATCCACTAAAGATAAAACATCTTCTTCCTTCCATTGTATCCAGACCTAAGAATGAAACAAAAATCAATCGATTTTAAGTTTTATCAGAAAAAAAACTACAAAGCTTCTTCCATAATAATGCCAGGGATGAATTTTAGAGACTTACAAGTCCCAAGAGGGTAAGAGAATTCTCATTGTCATACAAACTTGAGTTTTTTCTTCCACTAACAATCTCTAGTAGCAAAACTCCAAAGCTAAAGACATCTGATTTCTCTGAAAACACTCCTTGCATTGCATATTCAGGGGACATATAGCCACTGCATTGAAATATAACAATTCATTCTCCTTGTATGTGACTTTAACCTTAGACAAAAAAGAAGGCACACTTACTATGTTCCCACAACCCTTTGGGTATTTCCCTGATCTTCACTGCCTCCAAAGATTCTTGCCATACCAAAGTCTGATATTTTTGGATTTAGTTCCTCATCTAGCAAGATATTACTTGCCTTCAAATCTCTATGTATGATTTTTAGCCTGGAATCTCTGTGGAGATAAAGCAATCCTCTAGCTATTCCTTCTATTATGCTAAAGCGCTTTCTCCAATCCAAGAGTTTATTTTCTGATGGATCTGCAAAAGTAAAAACCAGAAGATGCATAGCGTGCTTTGTAGAAAACCTATATTAGCATGCTTTCAAGAAAACTCACTAACTGTGAAACCGTTGTTCATTTTTTTCAATTAATCAGAAATCAAAACCACTCCCCTTTGAACCCAACTAGCGAATATGGGGTGGAGGCAATGCTTGCACGCAGTCTTACCCTTGCATTCATTTTCTTTTATGAAAAAAATAAAATTATGAGATTAATAAAGTGGTGCGAACAAGCCTGGAGCAGCGGTAAGGTTGTTTTCTGTAATATGAAAGTCACGAGTTCGAGTCAGGAAGTAGTTTCTTTTCAAAAATGGAAAGGTAAAGTTGCGTATAATTGACTTATATGGATTGCTCTTACCCCTACCCTTGTTAGTCCTGATTTAATGAGGAATTGTTTTAATAAAGTAATTCATGAAAACTTTAATTTGAATATGAGACGGAAACTAAAGGGCCATTCAAAGAACTAACCAAACACAAATGCATCCAAACTTCTGTTTGGCATGTACTCGTATATCAACATCTTTTCCTCTTCTTCAATACAGCAGCCTAGAAGCCTTACAAGATTGCGATGTTGAAGCTTAGATATCACTACAACTTCATTCATGAATTCTTCTAGCCCTTGTCCAGATGCTCTAGAAAGTCTTTTAACTGCTATTTCCTTACCATCTTGCAGTTTTCCCTACAATACAATATCAAGAAACAGAAACTATTAACATTGACTTCAAACATGATAAACTTTGCTAGATTTAATATACCTTGTATACTGCACCGAAACCACCCTGGCCAAGTTTGTTTGATAAGTGGAAGTAGTTTGTGGCAGTTGCAAGCTTTTCAAAGCTAAATTGTAATAGCTCTTGTAGCTTAGCTTGTGATAATTCTCCAATTACTTTGTCGTTTGTGTGTTCTTCCGATTCAGATGTTTCACCTTTGTTAAATCGAATAAATTATACAAACATCAATTATGAAAACTTAGATCCCATACAAATAAAATGTTACGAAGATGGTATATTACCTAGATGCAAAGCCCTTCTCCAAATGACATATGCACAAGTGACAAATACGAAAGTTCCTATTATCATTGTAACTGTAATTGTAACTGTAATGATGACTTTTATGTTTCTCTCTTTATCTGTAATTCAGGAAACATTAACATCAACATCAACAATACCTTTTTCCCAAACTAATTGGGGTCGGCAATTCAGGGAACGTAAGCATATAAAATTGAAAATTGAAGAATTTATGCCTAAAGAAAATAAATATGGTCAAGTTAAAGAACTGTATATAAATTTTTGTTCTAATAATACCTGTCATACCAAGTTCTGTATAGGCTACACGAACGTAAAGATCAATTCCTCCACTTGGGAATTGTTGTATATCAATTAGATTCCCATTCCAAGACATACAGCCAATTTCATCATCATATGCATATGCAATGCAAGAGCAATTCTCCAAGCACCCGCTTCTGCATGTGTCTTGTGTAACAGATGACCCTTGTGCAAAATCAGGAACTTTGATCATCTGCAATGTCAAAAACCCATCTGCTTTATTACTGTCCACACTTGTGTTTTGATTGTTGGTCCTTTCACATTGCAGAGGTGTGCTTCTAACACATCCACGAGTCCAGTTTTGCCTATTCCATTCCTCTTTGTTCCTTGGCTCAAACCCTTTCAAACAGCTACATATTGGTGAGCCCTGGGAGCTACAGCTTGCAAATGCCCCACATATACCATAAACATCACAATCTGATTGGTGGCTAGTCCATGTAACTTGCCATTGCTCCTTCTCATCATCCCAATTTTTTTGCACATATTGGCCTTGGGGATACAAGGTAGACATTACGAGTCCCCTCCCATATGCTGTGAAAGATATTTCAACTGTTCCATTCCCATCATCTTCAACATGAACACCATTAAGATACGCAGTTTCCATGTTTAATACCCCTATAAAAACCTGACCATTCCATGGACCACTGCGCCAGTATGGTTGAGTTCCATTCAGAATGAACAGTTCAGGAATCTTTAGGCGTTCAACACTGAAAGAAAAGCTTCCAATGGATGGATCAGAAAGGCTTTTCCATGATGTAAGTTCTGCCTTCTCACATGTTATTTTGTTGCTTGTAATTTTCATACGGGGTAACCAAGTATTTGAAGGATGGTTGAAACTCTCCCATATGGTGTTTCCTGTTGTGCTTTCCAGCAAGAGAAGGCTTCCATAATCTGAAAGTTGGGAAGTAGAATTGGATGCAATATTGGACACATTTGATGACCAAACAACCTGTTTCTTCCCATTCAATACCACAAGATTGCCATCTTCAGATATCGTAACAACCCCAGAAGAATCATTCAATGGTTGGTTTCTATTAGCCACCCATGTGACAGTGAGGTTGGACTTCCACCAAATTCCTACATAGCGATTTGTAGAGTCAGTGCTGAAGAACCCCAAGGTAAAGTTTCCACTATTGGAGCTAAGAGTTTCAGGGTCCTTGATGAATTGAATTGATGTGATGCTGTCTTTGGCAATACCATTAACATCTAAAAAATAACAACTCATGAAAATAAAAACATACAACAAGTTTTTGCAGCTTTTGAAATCCATTACTGGCATGAATTCAACATATTCAAAACACTACGGTCATGATGATGGATTATAGATCTAGTAAATATCTATCTTTTCTTTTACACTGGAATTTAATAAATAAATTCATTAGTTTGCCTTGCTTGGAGTAGAAGAATTATTCAATATTTTTTTTCCACCTTTTTGGTTGAACTTTGAATCCTCCCCTTGTAATTTATACTATTTAAAATTATTCTTTATTGAGATAATTATTTAGGAGGAAGATTATACTTACAACATTTTTTTTACAATCTCTTACAACCATATCTTAACACTGTTGATTTCTGTCAATTAACAGTTATTATTTTCGCAAATTAAACACATTAATTAATTATTAATTCACGATAAATGATAACCGTTGACTAGCGAAAATCAACGGTGTTAAGATATGATTGTATGAGGTTGTAAAAAAAAAAATTGTAAGTATAACCTTCTCATTATTTAGAGCAGTTTTTTACTTTTTTTAAACTATATGATTACATAGTAGGTACTCTCTAAATCTAACTGAATCTGATGTTATGATATATAAAATTTCGATTATGCTAAAATAATACTTTTTCAGAAAATATCTAAAAAATGAATTTTTACAATCATATATACTAGGATATAAAGTTTTATTATATAAAAAAACCTTTATATAATAAAATTGAAATGCTCATGTTGCAGTTTATGGTGTTGGTTCGGAAAGAACTGAGAAGCTTTTGACGAGTTTAAATGTCTTTGTGATTGTGGAACTATTGTTGCAAATTCGAACTATGTTTATGGGAGGTAAAAATATGCCAAATGAAATGTCATTGCTTATATCTCAAAAAGTTACGTGAAATCAAAAAAGAAAAAAACCTGATGTGAATACCCGAGTCAAAAGTTATAGTCTTTCAAAGTTTTACGATAACGAGACTAGAGACTACCTACGTGACATTGACATGACATCAGTGCCATCACGATCAATACCGGTGATGTATTTGATTATATTAGTTTGGAAAAAATTGTTGGAAATCAATAATCACACATATTGCAAAGGAAAAGAGAAAGAGAGAGAATAAATACAGTAGTTTATCCTGGTTCACCCAATTTAGGCTACATCCAACTTGTCTATACTGTATTCACCTCACATCTACTCATGACTTGGTATTGACGTGATCCCAGTTGTCTTTCTGCTAACCCCGATAAGAAGAAACTTTGTCACCGTGGGCATGCAAAAAAATATGACCATACCCAACAAAACTTAATCAATCAACTTTAACTAAACAATTATTATTATTTTTTTGGTAATCAACTAAACAATTATTTTGCCCAACAATTAGCCCATCCAGTGACAGTTTAACCACGGCATTGACGTGAAAGCAAAGTGTGGGGATATAAAATATACTACAAGTCCATCGAAGAGTCAAGATAGATAGCAAAGGTAATTAGCTAAAGTAATCCACTCAACCTGAAAATCAAGATCTGAGCGATGCGTATTCAACACGGGCTAATTCCAGACTTACCACTTGCACTGTTATCATATACCAAAGTCAAGAAACTGACTCCTGAAGTCTTGTTAGATGTATTTGGAGACACGTTACGCTGCATATGAAAAGGTTTAAAGAAACGGTGCAATTTTTGTACTGTGGGCTCTGTAAATCTTTTTTTTTTTTTTTCCCATAAAATATTAGGATTGGTGGTACTCCTATTTTTTCATGTTTACATTCTCTTATGATTTTTTTTTCTTCTCAAAGTAAAAACTATTTTTGTATATTTTCTATTCATATTTATATTACTTATAAATTTATATTTTTTAGTATAAGACATGGAAATATTTTTTAAGAATTTTATATGATAATGCGAAGATTTATAAAATCAAAAATAAATTTTGTTCTTAAATAATCTTTTAACCATTCATTTAGTAAATAAATGTACGTAACATTATTTAATATACACTTCAAATATTTTCATTCTCATTCAAAATAAATTGATATTATATTTATTTATTGAATAGATTAATTATAACTTTTGTTTCGAATGAACGTTTAGCATCTTTAACTATTTAATTTAACTTCAATTTTGTTTAGTATTGCAATCATGTGATCCTTTAATCATTATTTATAATATGATATGAAAACATTATAGTTTTGAATTTCACTCTTCTTTATAATGACATAAATTACCGTAACATCATATTTTATTAATACATAAAATATATTATCGTAACTAAAAATATATTTTTATGAACTATTTTATTAATATATTTTCATTCTAGACTTTTAGTTGCCTATTATTTCATAATATGTTATCAACACAATGTTCTACCCAAAGAAAATCACAGCGATTAATTCAAAAATGGTAAGCGATCTTACATCATAAATCGTTAGATAAAGGTCAATATTCATCTTATTCATTTCATTATATTTTTCCAGGTTCATTTTATATTTTGCAATTAATATGCTGCTATTTTCATTCGGGGTATTTTCCTGTGAGAGGGAGATAGGCCAGAACATATTGATTATGTATTATGGAGTTATACGACTACTCCCCATTCAACCACCGGTGAAACACCATTCAGAATGGTATATGGCACTCAGACAATGATTCCAATTGAAATAGGAGAATCATCTTGGAGAAAACTATATGCAAATGAAGACAACAATTCTCATGCCTTGTTACAAAATTTAGATACAACTCGCGAGATGCGCGAAATTGCCTATATTAAGGAAGCCGCTTTGAAACAGAGAATTGCAGCAAGATATAATCTGGAAGTTATCAAAAGAAGCTTCAACGTTGGACATTTAGTCCTTAGAATGGGCTGATATTGGTAACAGGAATGCGCGTCAAGGAAAATTAGCAGCTAATTGGGAGAGCCCTTATCACATTCAAGGAAAAACTAAAAAGGGAGCATTCGTCATTGATACATTATCAGGACTTGCAAAATCCCACGTACTTGGAATGCAGATAAACTTAAGTTATTTTGTAGCTAAATGTTTTTTGTTGTTCCACAATATGTATGCAGCTTATCATTACCATTACTATTATTTGCAAATGAAGATTACAAGTTTGTCAAGCTATGAATTATAAGATCCAAACACGAAAATCATCGCGCAAAAGAAAGGAAGGTAAAACCTTAACTGGTTAAAATTTCCTTTGCACAATTAAGGTAAGAGGAAGGAAGGAAAAACCTTAACTGGTTAAAACTTCCATCGCAAAGTGAAAGGAAGGTAAAACCTTAACTGGTTCCATTATGCAAGAAAGGAAGGTAAAACTTTAACTGGAACTTCCGTCGCGACAAAGACTGTAACATCCCCGTCTCGAGCCGGTTCAATTAACATGCATATGATATAAACAGAAACAGCGGAAGACTTAACTTACGAAAATACGAGCTAACTTTTTTTTTTCTTTTTAAATTCTCATTCGACGTAAATGAAAATCAAACAGAGTTTCCTCTATAAATCGGACAACTGGGGATTTTCCAATCCCACTCAGAATCAATTCCTGATAAACAGTTTATACAGCACATCAATCCAGAAGTACCAGTCATGCAAATATAATCAGATACCTATCCATGGGCGCATGCATAACTTGACTCAGTGCCGCTATATCTAACAACATGCAATCCAAAACGTAAACATATCTGAATACTACATCATCATATAACGTGCCTGAATACTCAAATGTACATGCATCAAACTGACAGACATGTACAAAACATATACAGGCCATATACAAAATATAGGATCTAACATCATGATCCACAAAATACTGAAATACTAAGTGAAAGCACTATACTCCAAAATAGAAGTAGCCTACAGCTACTCAAAACCCAATACGTCCAAAATCCTCAGCCACGGGTCGCGTCCCTGACTAGAGAGGTCTCACCGGGAATCTGGGCACCTGAAGACGAGCTTCTCCGGCAATATCCTGAGTTTAAGGACAGGTATGTTCTTGATTTTGAGGACAAAATTGCTAAAAGGTGGGGTGACTATAATAGCCCTAACCTAATTAATTAGTAAATTAAATGTGATTGAATAATTAACCATGTAATAGTGAGTAAAATTACGTATAGGACCTAATTAAGTGAATTTGGGTCACTTTTGAGGTAAAAAGTGTACTCAGTGAAAATTAAGGGGTATAAATGGGTGCAGACAAAAGTACCCAAAATATAAAAATGAAAGTGGAAATATTCCTAGAAAAATATTCCAGACTTTTGGGTAAAGTTTGGTGATTTATGGAGTTAAACAGATAGATGAACCAATACCCACTTGATCCCACTTAACTTATGTTAAGTGACTATACAACACAAAAAAAAAAAAGAACCCAAATCCCTTCCCCAACCCGTCGTGCGCCAGAAGAGAGAAAGAAAGGAAGGAAAAATAAGAAGAAGAAGAGAGGGAGAAGAGAGAAAGGAGATGGAAACCCTAGATCATCCAATCCTTAACCGTGTTGTTGATTCAAAAGCCTAAATCACTCCAAATCCTTCTCTCTTCTTGAATCCAAGCTAGGTTTGTTGTGGGGAGCTTTGTGTTGTGAGATTTTCTCTCTAAAAAATCCGCCCCTTTGAAGGTTGAAGGAGTTTGGGGAGCATTTGGCTCCTTGGAAGCTTGAAGAATCATCACTCCTTGATTGTGCAACCATTGGTGGTAAGATTCTACTCCTTGAACCTTATTTTCATGGAGATTGCATGATTGAGGAAGATGATGAATAGTGTTTAGGGTTTTATGAAAATGTGAGTAGAGTGGCTATGTTCTAGGAGGATTGAGACTTAGTGGATGTTATGAAAAATGCTAGAAATGACATTTAATTGGTGAAAATGAGCTTAGTTAGTCATTGGTGTATACTTTGAAAATTGCAAGATTGAATACTTGATGTTGGACTTCCTTGCAATTGTGATCAATGGTTGGGTTTGGTAGGATATTGATTGTGTCCTTGTGTTGTCTAGGATTGAGGCAATTGGACCAACATTGAGAGACCAACCGTTGGAGCAAGCTATGGAGCTTGATTAGCTCTTTGGAATAGGTAAGCTCATGCTAATTTATAATG